GAACTCGACTCGAACTTGAAAACTTTAAAAATAAGCTCAACTCAACTCAAACTCACAAGCTAAAAATTATCAAGTTCAACTCAAACTCGAAATATAATATTGAAACTTGAACTCAAAAAAGCTTGAACTCAAAAAAAATTTAGAAGCTCGATTGAAGCCTAAAATTCGAGCTTGATTGAAGTGAAATAATAGTTCACTCAATGCTCACCAAAAGGCTCCATGATTTTGAATGTCAAATTACCTCTATTATTTATAGAAGTTAGTTGTGATGTGCTTCTATGTTTCTAAGCAATTTGAGATTGTTTTGTTCTCATATTTTTATTCTTTAGACTTTTGGGATGCTCTTCTATGTTTCTTAGCCATGTGGGATTGTTTTTAAAAAAAAAATAAACCAAACAATATCATTTTGTTATGATTTTTTTAATCTCAAATTTATTTTTTTATTATAGTTATATAATTATATTTATTATTTAATATGTTTTACCTTAAATATTATGTTGTAGTTAATTTGAATCATTTTGTTTCAATTGATTTTATGGTTTTTAACTTATATGTTATGAGTTGCTTTGAATATGACTTATGATATAAAAAATTATTTTTTATTAAATATTTTTGGTATTTTTATTTAATTTTTTAAATAATTATGACGTCGTCCGGTTCTTTCGACCGGTCGGACCGATTCGATCGGTTGAACCAGTAAACCGATAGCATGACCGGTTCGTTAACCGGTCCGGTTTTGAAAACCATGCTTAAGACCACTTGATTATTCTTTAATTGGTTATTTGTTTTGAAGATGATTATATCATCTTCAAAATGAAAGTACAACGGTGAAGATATTTTGTGATTGTGGTGTCAAATTCTACATTATCTCCAAATCTAAATTATCCTGATAATTAAAATTGACTAAGCTATTCACTAAGTGGATTAAAACTCTTGTAAACGAGCAATTTAGAATGTTACAAAGTTGAAACCTATATGGTGTAGCTGTGGAGCCCAATACATGTGCATTGGTCATGGGTCCTTGTGTGTTAAAAAATATATAACTTACATTAAAAGAATAATAAAAGTATATTTTAACTTTTGAAAAATTTATAATCTAATTTTAGCATAGCATAAAATAAACATGTTCCATCCCTACGTATTGGTGAGCATTCAATCGAGTTGAGTTGAGTAAAAAAAATTTAGTTATTTAAGTTGACGAGTTCAGTCTTATAACTCGAAATTGATTTGAAATTTTTTTTAGTCAAGTTAATTTCTGAGTTTCTATTTAAATTTAATTTTAAATATTTATAATATTATGATATTATTTGATTTCAATTTAAATATTTTTTTATAATCATATACAATCATACAGAATCGAGGGACTCAACTCAAACTTGAAAATCAATCCACTAATCACTAAAATTTTTGAGTTATTACAGTTACTATTTAAATTATTAGAGTTGTATTTTATAACTCGATTTGAACTTAATTTTTTTTAATCAGATCAAATTTATGAAATTACAATTTAAAATCAATTCAATAGAGTGTAATCGGAAAAAATAAATTTTAGATTAGAATTTTGTTTATCATGTTATATATATATGAGTAGAAAAGTTGACATTCTCACTTCGACAGATTTTAAGTTCCCAAAGTGTGAAAGAAATAAATGTGATAGTTTCATGAATTTACCTTCACCGCCAGACTCTGGCTGTGATTGAACAGTTTCATGTGCCAACTATATTGGGCAGTGAGCAGATGGCAGATGTATTTTAGCCTCCTGGAAATGTAAATGGCCCAATAATACATCACATGAAGTTGTTCAATCAAATACTGCTTGGTAAAATTTTTATGAAATCCTTAATTCTTACATTCTCAAATCGTAGTTCGACTTAGAAAACATCAGTTTCAGGGATGGACTGAGGGAGGGCAGTGAGTACCCCTAAAAATTTTAATTTCTCTTACATATTAGGTGTTTTCTTTGTATTTTATATGGATTGTTTGATTTTGCACCTCCTGAATTTTTAGTATAATCACACCCCGTTACACAAATTTTTGTTTCCTTCCCTGATCAGTTTCATAATAGGGCTTACTTGTTTGTTTGCATCTTATTGCTGAAAATTATGCATTGTTATTTTAGAAGCAAAGCAAGCCCCGTTTAAGAAGAGAACTTTTAGATGTAGGATATTTTAATATACTGCTTTATTGTTCTCATTTATTTTTTATTGGTTTCCAAACAATGGCGTGACACCAGAATATGGATACAAGGTAATTTGGGCAGTTATAGGTAGTACGCTCAGATAGAAACAACTTAATCTGCCAATATATATTTTTTGTAGTCGATAAAATGGAGGATTCATTCATTCATTAAAACGGGAAATTTGACGTGAAACGATTCACTTTTCTTGGCACTGCGTCTTATCCAACATTGAAAATGGGCCCTTCTAAAGTGGAAATTACACTTCCAACTTGACCCATAAGCCTAACATGGAATGATAATAGCCTCATCCAATTATTTCGACTTCTTTTATTTAAATATTACCTAAAAACAATCAATTATCAAAATAACATCTATTATTAATTAATTCTCGGTCCAGTATCCATTTCTACCACATGGGTAAAGACATATTTTGTAGGAAACATCTGCTGCTGTGTGGCAAAAGACCATTTTACTGATACAATTTAGATTGGACCGAAATGAAAGGAAAAAATATGAAAAAGTATGTGAATTTTGTCTAAAAAGAATAAACGTGTGTGTGGTGCGTGTCAAGTGTATGTAATCACACGAGTATGGGAACGAGCACAAGTTAAGTTAGATGATGACGGCACTATGTATTAACCTTATATTTACTCATTCAATAAATAAATGCTTAAAATATTATATTTAAATACTTGAAAATCTAAATATATATCTAAATAACATATCGTCGTCGCTTGACTTAGCTTGTGCTTGTACTTATGCAATTACATGTCTTTAACACGCACCACATACATTTATTTCTTTCAGATAAAATTCATATAATTTTTTCTTTCATATTTTTCACCATATTTTTCTTTTCTTTTTTCAGTTCAACCTGACGATATCAACAAAAGACATTTCTTGCAAAATACACTTTGTATCACATCAACAGAAGTCACTTCTTGTAGAATGTGTCTTTATTGAATAGGATGTTACTTGTGCAAAGCATGTTATGTAGAACATGCCTTCTTATCACGTAACAAAAACATGTGCTAGATCGAGAATTAATGAACAATGAGTGTTATTTTGATAAATAATTATTATTTAGTAATATTTTGGTAAAATTGCCCTCATCCAACCTATGGAGATTACCATAAGAATTTTATGTGATCGAGTTAGGAAAAAATTATGAATGTTTGAATTCAAATTATGATTTTTTTTATATATTTAAATCTAGTTTTATTATTGGATTTGTCTATCATAAAATCTATTTTTTCGAGTAATTATTTATTTTACTAATTATATAAATTTATACGTCTTCAAAAACATTTTTAAATTGATCAATGTTCATCAAAGTGAGATTCTTTTCTCAAGTCACTAAACCAAACCATTAGAGAGTAAGCTTTTATGGGTGAGGCATATTTCTTAGTAGTGAAGTATGGCATTTGTTTTCTCTTTCACGTAATAATAAGGGAATACAGTTCGTTGTTAGGGTAAGTACGTGGTTATCTTAAAATTTGAAATTTTTTATTAATTATTTATTTTATTAATTATGTTCATTATTTATGTCTATCATATAAAAATTTTATATTATTGATATATATGTATATCTACCTTAAAAACATTTTTAGATGAACCACAGGTGATAATGTAATATAAATTTGACTGCTTCATCATGAGGTAACAACACTTTTGATTGGCACCAGTAGAGACAACCATTCATGTGAATTTTAGAGCTAAAAAAGTGCAGTCCTTTGACGGTGATGACCAACTTGGGAATAGGAAAAGCTAAAACACAGCATGATACAATCGCACATGCAAGCAACTAAAGATCCCTAATTTATCATGGGTCATATCCAACAAGACATATGAATGACTTGGTATTTCAGTTCTTAATTCAGGTGAGCAACTTTTTATCACCTTTTTCACTAGATTCTCGCTTTCCTTTTCATGTTTCCTATATATGCTTCAACTTTCACTACCTGGGACGTGAACTAGTTAAATTTTCTTCCGTCATTATAAATATGTTATTTAGATGGTAAAGTACATAAATGGATCTCGGTCATAGAGTACTGCTTTTGTTTAGTATAAGATTATTAAAAGTTATAAAATACTTATCCAATAATTCAAATGTTTTAAATCTATTTTTTCTATTAAATAATTTATTATTATTTGAGTTGGACGTTAACATGTTGAATGTGACATGATAAAATCTGATTCTATAATTGCTTGAACTCTATTTTGTGGATCAAGTATTTATTTACATTATGTCGTCGAATCAGTGTTTAAAATATTATGTTATCGGCTCAGTGTTTAAAAGTAACGACCGTGCCTAGACATCATTAAAATATGATTTTATCATATCTAGATATGGACGCAAGATTTTATGTTAAGGGACAAACTTTTAAAATTTTAGGATGATACAAATTTATAAAATTATAGGGAGATGGAAAAAGATTTTTAATAGAAAATACATAGAAAAAAATTGAAAATATATGATAATTTGAATTTTTCACGGGGTGACTACCTCCACTCCCTCGGTCCATCTCTGATCATATCTCAGTTAGCATATTAACGTCCAACTCAGGCAGCCATCAATTTCTTAATAGAAAAAGACGAGTTTGAAATATATGAATAATTGAGTGACCATTTTATAACTTCTAATAGTCGGGGACTCAAAAAAGTACCACCATATAATTGGGAGACCATTCGTGTATTTTACCGTATTTAGATAATGTGATATTGAATTGGAATTTGTAGATTTTTCTTACATCAAAACCAATAAATGAAGCTAAACATTATTCCCCAACACCCAGTTTGATTTATGTTGAATTGTCATGTTAAATTACAACTTGTTAACATTATATATTTTCATACATGCAAGTTGTGAGTTGGGAAACTGAGCAAATAGTTATTTCACTTGTAATTTAACTGTTAACAACAGTGCTCCAAGAGACAAACCTACAACACTTTTGACCTCTTTTCTTCCATGCATTTACTTATGACAAAGTCGAGCTTTTCTCTCTTTACATACAAAACAAAAGAGGTTTTTGAAAATGAAGAAACAGATTAAGCAAAACAAACTTCTGCATAGCTGTAACCATTTTTTTTACTTTAACACTGTGTAGGATTGGGGGAAGATGAGTAAAGTAGAGAAGATGCAGAGAAACTTGAGTTATTGCTTTTGGGATACAAGCTTTGCGTTTCTGGTTTTGATGATGATGTTGCTTGAACTCGACTTGAGTTATTATTTTCCTTAGTATCATTTGCTGCTGGCGATCCCTTCAGGAGCATATCAACCTTTGCATACTCCTCCCTTTCATGTTTAATCTCCTTGAGCATTGCTGCCACATCTTTCATGTTTGGTCTTTCATCGGGGCATGAATTTACACACAACAAGGCTACACCTAGAGCTTGCATCATTTCCTCGATTTCGGACTGTGGCCGATATAGAAGGCTCGGATCAAGTACTTCTATCCCTCCTCTGTTTTGTCTAACCCAATCTACTATGTGTAGCCCATCTGGTATGGTCGGATCAATCGGTTGCTTCCCTGTCAATACTTCCAGCAGGACTACTCCAAAGCTATAAACATCACTCTTCTCTGTAATCTTCATCATGTAACCATATTCTGCCAAGATGAAGTTAATAGTTGGTTCAAACTCGAGGCCGATTAGGATATTAGTAACCTCAGAAAAAGCCATAATATATGAAGCTGCTGTAATTAATAGGAAGAAATCTTACCAGGAGCAATATATCCATAAGAACCTGCAACAGTGTTGGAGGAGCGAGCAAAATCACCATCATCTACAAGCTTGGCAAGGCCGAAATCAGCTATGTAAGGTTCAAACTCGAGGCCGATTAGGATATTATTAGCCTTGATGTCCCTATGAACAATTGGAGGGACACAATCATGATGCAAGTAAGCAAGACCTTGTGCTGACCCCAACAATATTTGGTACCTAAGTTCCCATTCCAAAGCATTCCCAGTTCTCTCGTGTAGGAGACTCCCCAAGCTTCCATTTGGCATATAATCATACATTAGCAATCTTGTACTTCGGTTCCAGCAACAACCCAAAAATCTAACTATGTTCTTATGACGGATTGAACCAAGCGTTTTCACCTCGGCTGAGAAGGAATCACGAACCCCGCTTTTGTCATCGTTGCATCCATTGGATGGTGCTATTGTTGCTGCCCAGAGTTTCTTTACTGCAATGACTTCGCCATTGTCCATATCAGCACGATAAACAACCCCAGAACACCCTTTTCCTATCACATTGGAGTCTACTAGGCATTTCAGAATTTGCTCTACCGAGAAATTTAACTTCTGGAAGGGAGTGAATTGCCATGGCCATGACTCACCCAACTCTGAATCATCATCTCCAATGGTTTTCCGAGCCCGTATAATTGCAATTGTCCCCATAATAACCATTGCAACTGTTAGGGTGATCAACAATGCAACTGCTAGTTTGAGTCTCCGTGATCGCATAATCTCATTTTCAGCTCTTGATGATCCTGTCTTGCCATTACTGCCCAAAAAGCAAGAGTCCCGGCTTGTAGGACATAACCCTTGATTTCCAGCAAGGTTTGCTGGTGCTAACTGCCTAAAAAGCTTGTTGTCAGGCAGATAACCTGCAAAGTTATTGTAGGAGATGTTTAATGAAACAAGATTATCAAGCCCTGCAAGTGGACCCAAGTCTCCTTCAAGCTTGTTGTGGGAAAGGTCCAGTATGGAAAGCTTGCTAAGTGCTGATATTTGAAGAGGGATTGGTCCTGTGAGTCCATTGCAGCTCAAGTTAAGAGAAATGTCAAGGGCTTCTATGCGGCCAAGTTCCATTGGGATGCCACCAGTGAGCTCATTGCTACTAAGGTCAAGCAACTGCAGGCTTGAACAGAGGCCAAGAGCGGAAGGTATTGATCCAGACAAGGAATTCTTGCATAAAATCAGCTTGTTCAATGACACGAGACGGCCCAAGCTTGCTGGTATTCGGCCATCAAATTGATTGAATGATGCATCTAACACCTGAAGGTTAGATAGAGATGACAATGACTCCGGAAGGTAACCCTGTAGAATGTTGTTGCTGAGGTCTATCATTTGCAACTCTGTGCAACCCCCAATCTCATATGGAACAGCTCCAGAAAGCCTGTTGCTAGACAAATCCAGAAAATTTAATCTCTTGAGGCTCCCAATTTCTCTAGGAATACTACCAGTGATCCTGTTGTTACCAAGCCTTAAGCGGACAAGGGAGCTGCAATTGCCTATCTCCGGGGGTATAAAACCAGAAATGCTGTTGGAAATAAGTAAAAGCTTTGCCAGGCTCTGGAGTTGAAAAAGGCCAGGAGGAATGCTACCTGTGAGAGAATTGTGTGACAAATCCAGCGCTTGAAGATCAGTGCAACTAGACAAAGATGAAGGGACGCTTCCTTCAAGCTGATTTTGCCAGGCAAAGAAAACAGTAAGCTTTGACAGCATTCCCAGCTCTGGTGGAATCAAACCAGAAATCTGGTTTGTATCAAGCTGCAACTGCAGGAGACTAGTAGCATTGGACAGATTTGAAGGTATTGAACCAGAGATATTGTTGTTGCTAATCATAAACTCCTGAAGCTCCGAAAGAGCCCCCAAAGATAAAGGTATGGCTCCAGATAAAGAATTCAAAGAAAGATCAATGTTTATCAATTTACTACAATTGCCAATCTCTTCCGGAATACTCCCAACAAGACTATTTTGCCACAAGAAGAGTGACTCAAGCTTTTCAAGTTTACCAAACTCTGGTGGTATCGATCCTGATAGACTGTTTTCATAAAGATACAAGTTTTGAAGCTCAGAGCAGTTACCTATTTCGGGAGGAATCTCACCAGAGATCATGGTGGTATATATAGACAAGGTTCGAAGCTTGGTTAGATTCCCAAGTGAGGCTGGTAAAGGCCCTGAAACTCTTGTATCAGCTAGCCCCAACACAGTCAAGTTGCTGCAGTCTCGAAGCTCATCAGGGATTTTTCCAACAATGTCTTTGTTCCCTCCAGCTCGAAGAATTTCAAGAAGAAACAACTTTCCCAGTTCAGCAGGGATAGCCCCACTTAGAAGGTTATCAAAAATCTCTATTTTCTGAGACTTGTGCAATTACTAGCTCAACTGGGATTTTCCCGGTTAGCTGATTAGAGCTCAAAATCAACTCCTCCAGATACTTGAGCCTGCTGATACTTTCTGGGATGGAGCCAACCAGACTGTTGGAGCCGAGGGCAATCGTAGTAAGTTGTGTGCAGTAACCGATGTCAACTGGGATGATGCCTGTGAGATTTGCATCGAGATGACAAGTCTTTTGAGAGATTGGAAAGCTGAGAGATTGACTGGTAAAGGAAGCTCAAGAGAGACAAACTGCATATTGATTTCAGTGACATAGCCTTGTGGGGAGCATGTTATGTGGGTCCAGTTGCATGGGTTGGGGTCAAGATTATTCCAGTTAGAAAAAGAGGAATGTGGAGTAGGAGAAGAGTGTAGCCATGAAAAGAGAATGGAAGATTCAAGGTTTGCACTTGCAAAAGTTGTAGCAGTGAAGAAGAAGAAGAAAAGAAAGGAGATAGAGAATGAAGAAGAAGAAGAAGAAAAGAAGAAGAAAGATTGCCTCGAGCGGGGCATCGACATTTGCATCAATTTTCCAACCTTTCTTCACGGTTTTGCATCATTGGGTTTTGCTTCTTCTCTATCTATCTCTGTGCTTGCTTCTCTCTCTCACTATATGTTTTGCTTGCTTTGAACTCAAACTCAGAAGAACACAAGCTGTACTATTTGGGCTTTACTTTAATAATATTCTATAATAAATTAAACACTGTCCAAACGGAGCACTTAACTATAGTAAGAGAAAAAAAAAACAATGCCTTGAGATCAACAAAACCGCACCACCACCACCACCCACCTCCGTTCTCCCTCTCTCTCCCTACAAAGGACATAGAAACAGTAAGCAATATATTATAATAAACAAAGGAGGTGGAAGCTGGAAACCCCCCCAACTCTGCCCATACCCTCGTATCTTTCTGCATCTCTTAATATTTTAATCAGCTTGGAAAAAAAAAAGTAAAGTATATAAATGATTCCCGCTATATAAGTTATTATTTTGTTAATTTTTTAATTATTAAAAGTTTTAAAATATTCATTGGTTATAGTACGATATTTTGTTAAATATTTTAATTAATAAAAAATTATAAAATAATCTTTTGACTATTCATATGTTTCAACTTATTTTTTTGTTTAACATTAACATGTTAATTAAGATATTGATAAAATCATATGTTGATGTCTATTAGCACCATCGTTATTTTCTGTCATTAATTTATGACATAATATTTCAAGTATTAACTCGATGACATAATGTAAACGAAGGGTCAATTTACAAAATACAACTCAAACAATTTTGTGATCATATTTTATCATATTCAATCAATAGTTTAACGTTCAACTTAGACGCATGTTAATTTTTTAATGGAAAATGACAAATTTAAAACATATGAATAATCAGATTACTATTTTATAACTTTTAATAGTTAATAACTAAACAAAACAATAATATATTGTCAAGAATTTAATAAAATACAACTCTATAGTTTAGAGATTATTTTATAAATTTTAATAATTAAGATACTATAAAAACAAGTTCCTATAGTCACTAATCATTTATGCACTTTACATGTTTTAGTAATAGTAATTGTAATAGTGCATCTGTTATTTTGACTGTAACGCAATATTTACAGTATAAAAAGAGAGGAAAATTGTGGCGGTTAGCTCCAAATTCAAGTACGCCACTAGTGTTTGTTAAAAAAAATGCAGAAAAGGACATTGGGTTAACCCTTTCCAATTCAGGCTTGCAGAAACCTTTTTTTTTTTTGGGTGGGGGTTTCAGTTACGAAATGAATTGGCTCTTCAAACACCCTTTTTATGTGGTGCCACTTCCTGAGTTGCTGACCCTCTTCTATATTCACTATCAGTATAAACATGTCATCTAATTTGAACTCTATCAGTTTCTCCAACTAGTAACCTATAACTTGTATTCAATCAATTTCAATTTTAATATCAACTCTTTATCTGGTCTCAGTAGTAAAAGAGAAGATTATCCTCTCTGAAAGATTTAGATTCGAGTATTTACGTCTGTATAATATATATTATTAATATAATAAGAAAATTTAAACATATACTATTTAATAATCATCATAGTCTATAAAAAAGTTCAATGTGTACAGATTTTGGTTTTAGTAATTCCAGGGTATTAGACTTTTGGTTTCGGTATTAATGTTAATAGTTATCTCACAAAATTTATTAAGGAGCACCTCAGTAATATGGTTGAATTTTATTTTTTATAATTAATTTGTTAAAAATGATATTTTTTATTTAAAATTTATTATTAATAAAAATATAAAAAATATTCAAACAATTTGTGTTTATTAATCTGGGTGAGTACAAGTTAATATTTGTTCAAATATAACTCTTAACCATTTGACATTAAAGCTCGCACTCCTAACATTTATGATGCTTGAACCCGGGACCTCAAGAAACAACGACGACTCATTTACAAGTTAATACAAACTCACATTAACACATTTACATTTCTTTATAAAGGAAAACATTTAACTTAACTAAGGGGTTGTTTGTTTGCCTCTTAATGGAACCATTCAGCGCTGAATGTTGAACCGTTCAGCATTCAACGCGTTTGTTTCGCAATTCTGAATGATTAAGTGCTGACTGATTCAACAAAACAGTACTGAATGATTCAGAGCTATTATCAAACAACATGTCACATTCAGAGCTAATTCATACAGAGCCTCTGAATCATTTAGCATTTGAATCATTCAGCGCTTAATCATTCTGAAGTAAACAAACAGCCCCTAAATCAAAGTTCATTCGCACTATAAATAAGACAACACAAGTTTACAACAAACAACTGATTGATTTAGTGACATGATGAATTAAGTCCTTTAAATAATGTTAGAGGTTCAAATCTTCACATTTGTAAATGAAATAAATTGAATTAGAATGATCATTCCATAGTAAATCTCTGCAATACATGATCTGAATTATTCGATCAATAAATTAAATTTACAAATTTCATTAGTAATAGGATACGAGCGTAAACCCATTATGGTTTCTAAGAGCTTGTTCCTCTATTATTTCTCTCGACTAAAAGGTTAAGTGAGAGAAAGCTAAGGTTTTGCCAAAATTTATTAGAAATCTACAAAAATTAAATTTAAGCTTAGCTTATTCGTAGATATGGTAGCAAAAGCCCTTTGAAAAGAAGTTTAGGCTGGCTTGAATTCAAGAGTTAGGGGTAAGATCTTCATATTTCAAATTTTGGTAAACTGTTCACTTGACTATAAAATACTAACATGTTATTCATTATGTTGCTTGATCGTGAAAATTGACTATTTGAAGCTCAAGACTAACTCCAAGAGTCTTGCTCGAAGTGAGTTAACCATAAATTGAGTCCTAATAATCAATGTATATATCGGTTTGTATATACATATGGTGTAACATTAGCCACAAAAGTGACGTGGTACAAATTCTCTATTAAAATTTATTTCGATGCATGAACGTAAATAATTTTTTCATACAAAGGGAGACCAAACAACATTAATTAACCGAGTGCAAACCAAGGTCATGCAAGTGAATATCTTTCCAAATCGGATTATATGCTTTGTGGTGTTTTTTAAGCTTTTTACATAAATCACACAAAAACATGCTAAAATTAAAAACAAATACACTTAAACCCAAAGTATGAACTTTAAATGTTTATTTGATTTTTTTTGTTAAATAAATACATTAGGCCGTTGAAAAACCTCAAGTTCCTAATCCAATATATAAATATATACTTACATAAAATGAAATACTATGGCATGCGCTAATTATGCAAGCCATGAAACCAGCCACATTGAAATACCAACGGTCTACTAGTTATAAGACCGTTTCTGACTTGTTGCAGCCCTAATTAAACATTGACTTATCAGCTTATACACATTCAATTTCTTCACAAATAAGTCTAAACTTCTAATTATTGCAACAATTGCTTGAGGAATCGTGTCATTTCCGCAAGCTTGCACAACACTTAACCATGCGCATCAACAAACTTCAGTTCAGGAATGTATTGAGTGTATTAATGGTTAAATAGAGTGTTGTTTTTTTTTTTAAATCTAGAATTCGAATAGTTGTATCTATAGAGTGTATACGTTGTCAATAACTAATTAAGATTATGAATGAATACTACCTTATAAGCATTACAGACTAATAAAAAAAAACTTCGATTTAATTAGTTTTATGAAACCCTGGTGTTTTCTTGTCAATGGCGGATTCACACTCTAAAATTTGAATTTTCTTCAACTAATTATCTGTTTTATTGATAGTGTTCATCTTAAAATTTTATTTGTATATACCTTATTAAAAATTATACTATTAACATTATATATTCATTTTCAAAAATATTTTTAAATCCGCTATATGTTATTCAACCCTCTACTGTGTTATTATTGACTTAATTTGGTCAAAAATAATTCTGATCAGCTGACAAACATTAACATGTGGAAAAGAATCCTTCGGAAAATGAGATTAGGGCATACGCTGGATCCTATGGCATTGATATACTCTCTTTTTTTTCTTAAGAAAAAATATTTTAATATAGTATATAACAGAGCGAGCTCCAAAATTGTCCAACCATATGAATACTTTTATTAATACAATTCTGAAGAGTTGAGACTTTTGGGGAATCATTTAATTTAACACTTGATATAAGAGTAAGGTCTGCACTGACATTTGTTAATACAAAAATGTAGGGCCAAAGTATATTTATTTGTCATCCGATTCATCAACAATATTCTTTTTTATTCGGCCTACTTAGAATTTTAATCAGTCAAATTTAGACATATCGATTTATTTATTGCAGTCTTATTTATGTTATTTTTGAAATAAAAATAAATAAATTCCAATATATGATATTTATAAACATTGATAAGTTCTAAGGTGCTAAATAGATTCTAGTGATCTTTTTGATAATCAATAAAAGTAAAATCTATACTTAAAATTTTTATAATATTTTCAAAGATGAATCATAAGATGATTATAATAATATATTGATTTATCTTGTTTATTAATGTAAGATATTATTATTTCTATTTTTTTATTATGTATATAAATAAATTATTTTGGTAGCTATTTATGCATGTGTTAGAGAAAAACATATTGGACTGACTCACTATAAGTATTTTTCTTGGATTATTATGTAATAGTCGCATCACTCATATATGATTATCAGACTTGAGATCATCAATCTCAATATTGTGAATTGTATATTTTGATACGATCAAACGTTCATTGTAACTGGTTGTACCATTTATACTAATATTGAATACACCATAAATGAAGCACGAAATTTGGTAATTTCGTGTCATTAAAGAAATGAATTAATAGTTTATGATTTAGTCCCTAGTGTGCTATGTAAATGCTATTGGAATTTAATTTGAAGTTTGATTGAGTTGTAATTTGGTATCATGCATGTTTTTATTGATATGTGATAGCTTAAGTTTTAAATTTTGGACATGACAAAGCATGAAGTATGTGAAAAGATGAAACTTTTGTATGTTTCAAATTTGCTCTTTGTTAATAGTAACATATATTTTTCATTGCGTGTTCAAGTTGTATGATGAATGAATTTTTTTTAATTTCATTCTTGCTTTAAAATAGAGAGATTT